TTTCTTTCTTTCTTTCTTTTTCTTCTTTCTTTTTTTTTTTATTCCAGGTTTACAACATAATTTTTTTTTCTAGTTCTGCCCCCTACTTAGAATATACAAGCCACTTGTTTTGAGACAAACCTCAAAACTACCCTTAAATTATTTGTCTTAATGTAGTAAATCAATTCTATGACTAATTAGTCCTGCACTCACCAAATAGTTAAAGACAGTATAATAATTGTCAATTAAATGTTTTCAAATCATGTCTAAGTTTCCTTGTTATGTACTTTCTCATATGTACATGTATGAGAAAAATGTCTCATTGTCTAATTTTGAAGTTGACTCATGTACATGAGGATGCTAAGTGAGACTTAAGACCAATGATTATTCAGGGACTTAAAGAGAAATCCCCACCTACTGGGGTCATTAGGACATTTATCACCTTATCATAAGAAGTAGGACTTAAGATATCTTTTGAAATATAGGTAGATTCAGAAAATATATTTTAGTCAAGGCACAGAAACTGAGAAAAGAGGTCAAGATAGACATGAGCAAGCTATAGCTGAGGAATAGACAGTGGGCTAACCTAATACAAGTAGTATGTATTGAGAAATAGTAAGAATAAATGTTGAGAAGGTATATTGAACTGGACCATATAGAACCTTAAAATAAGAAGTTTAGATTTATTAGGCAGATAATGTCTTATAGTCTTATATACAGTAGATGTTCAATAAATAAATAAATGTATTTCTTTAAGAAATGTAAAGACACATAAAAATGCTAATAATGATATTTTGTTGCCAACAGAGAAAGCAGCAACAGGTCACAGAATTGATTAAAGCACCAAAATTATTGATGGCATCAATAATAAATCTGATTTCATTGCCCATGTGGAAGCTTATGTTCACCATGTTCATGTTTTCAAATCCCTTATTGGGAAAGAACATTTATTCTATCTTTGGAAACTATGAAAAAAAAACCACATTAATTCTACCAAACATCCAAGACTATACAAAATGTTCCAACCAAGGGTAAAGCATTTTCTATGGAAATCAAATTAGTGGGCTGCAAGAAGTTTTTTAAAATTAAAATTTTAATAATCAGTATAGCCATTTATTATTTTTGCTTTCCCTAAAAATACATTATTGCTCAACTGTTATCACATTTGGAATTAACATTACATACATATAATTAAGGCCATCATGAATTGAGAATTGTTTTCAAAACTAGTAAAGAATAGATTCAAGTGTATAAGACATCAACCTAAATAGCCTGAGGTCATCCTGCTAATAGAAGTTTAGATGTACAGGAATATTTTGTGATTGCCTCTAAGACCACACAGGAATATTACCATATTCTCTGATGTTATTGATAACTAATATTTTACAATCATTTGAAATATAATTAGTTTCTATAAGATCATATACATGAATAATTTTTCTCTTATATCTTGAGTTTATACATATATATGATAAAATTTTGGCAACAATTAGATGATAGTTACTGCAAATGCCTGAGCTTAATTTTGCTTGCCTTGGAAATGAACCTACTGATTTCTATCTCAAGGGCTTTGGTTGGAGGAAGGCATGATGAAATCAGATAAAGTATGTAAGTTTCTAAAAGAAGCTAGATATATGGTAGCTTAGGTTAGGTAGAAGAATGAAGTGAAAAGAATATGGGTTTTCAAGTTCAATTAAAAAAAAAACAACAGGGCGCCTGGGTGGCTCAGTTGGTTAAGCGACTGCCTTCGGCTCAGGTCATGATCCTGGAGTCCCGGGATCGAGTCCCGCATCGGGCTCCCTGCTCGGCGGGGAGCCTGCTTCTCCCTCTGACCTTCCTCCTTCTCATGCTCTCTGTCTCTCATTCTCTCTCTCTCAAATAAATAAATAAAATCTTTAAAAAAAAAAAAAAAAACTCGTTCTCTTTCCACTGTATCAAATGCTGTGCCTTAAAAATGTTAATTCTTTAGCAGTATGATCCAGAATCTTTGTCTCAAAATGGGAAAATGTGCTCAAGCTAAAATATGCTAATATATTTTTTGTCAACAGAGTGAGGTGGTGTTGCAGGCAAAACTGTGTTTGAATTTGTTGTAAATGCTCCCAGATATATGCTCCAGGTTTAATTGTGGGAGTGGCCCAGGGAGAGTCCAATCATGTAAATAACCAAGAATTTTCAACCATGACCCATATGCTTTCCCATATGTGTTCTGCTGAGGAACAGAATACCTCTACTCTCTATTTCAGTATTATATAGAAAAATTTCAGTGACCATGCAATACTCTTGTTCTAGGAAATTCAGGGAGAATTTGAGGGAAGATGGATTTCTCCTCATTTTTACCAGTGTATGATTGAATATTACAACACCAGAAAAGGGACATGAGGGTGAAGAACATGGGAGTATTGAGAACTTTTCTACACATAATTTAAAATTCTTTTCCACAAAATCATAGTTATCCAAAAATAAGGTCAAAATAAAAATCAAATGCCAAGTACTGGGACTATAATTTTTATATTTGGAAAACTGTATTTCCTCTTGACCTTTAAGTAACCAAGAGGGTAAGAGCCCTCAGTTCCAATCAAGTTTCCGATAGTCTTTGATTAACAGTTCTGAGGAAGAATCACCAAAAGGGGCAGGAAAAAGGATTTTCTTCAAAGTGACAGTATGTGTGTGTGTGTGTGTGTGTGTGTGTGTAGAGTATATAATTAAGATACATGTGCACATACATACACAAACTACATATATTGCATATACACATACAACATTTCTGATCCTTTCTCTGCCTGTGACATTGTTCTAGCTTTCGTTAAATTTCAGTATTCTGTTACTCCTTTTGGGGTTATGTCACTTAAGAAGTCATCAGTGAATATTGTATAGTGATGAATAGCTATTTGTTTGTTTTTATTCAGAGTAAGTGAAATAGCTGAATATGAACTGAAAAAAAAATTTGTTAGAGTTATAAAAACTTTTTCAAGTCATATATTTTGTTAAACTGAATTAAGAAACCCTCTCCTTTTAGGATTTCAGGATAGGAATCACTCAGAGACTCTTATGAAGCATATAACCTCTTCTTAAGTTTATGATTTTGAAATAAAAATAAAACTAGAATTTATACTAATTAAAGGAATAGTAAATACAAAACAAGTAAGAAAAAAAAACAGAAAAATCTAGACAGAACTCAAGAGGCATCACTCAATCCCTTTACAACAACGTCAAAAATGAAATATTTGGGTACCAGTCAAGTGTTGCTTCATTCAGTGGTTCATTAAAAACAAAGTTCACTGGTTCACATGTACTTTGAAGATTTTTAAAAAGTGATCTTATATCACTGGTCTTAATCATATTTTACTTTGGTGGTCATAAGGTCTTAGGATGGGGAAAAATGCTGTCATTTTGAAGTAGTACTGATTGAGGTTTCATCTTTGGGGGATAAAAAAACCGGAGTTCAAAAACATGATATGATCTTAACAATCTTTAGTTCTATTATAATTTTAAGTCATGCCCTATTATTTCTGTTTATATGTTTGCTAAACTTATTTGTCCAAGAATGAATTTAGCTATACACAGGACAAGACAGGCACAAATGAGAATATTAAATCAAGATGAAAAAGAAGGAATTATTCTCAGAATTACCTACCTAACCTAGTATACCAGATTTGGCTTTTTCTTTATCTAATAGCAATTGCAAGGTGAATTTGTTATATAGTCAATTTGATCATAACTAGAAGTACTAACACTGTTGTGTTACCCAAAACAATATGATAAATTAATAAGAGAGATAATAATGGAAGACTTCTAAGTTCAAGTCCAATACATTTTCCCTATAAAACTATATTTTTGCTCATCTCTATATTTACAAGTGTATGGACATTTCATATAAACAAACACTATGCTTCCTGGAAGTTACAAAAGACCTTGGGTTTCTTCTCCATCTTGTATTTCAACCACCATTGTCAAACCCAAGTAGGGCAAGGGGATCAGCGGAGATCGAGTTTTATGACTATATTAGTCTCACAGCTACAAACCACAACATCTAGAAAGGGGAGACAGTTCTACAGGGTTCCACCTGAGATGGTCAAGGTCTAAGAAGAGACCAGGAGATTAAGTTCAAATATTCTTTGGGATATGTTAGTTCTATCCCTTCCGAAACATCTGAGGTATGTATGTGAGGAGTATTCAAGGCTTAGTTCAAAATTTTTCTAAATGCCTAATTAATTTCAAACATATGACATCTGAAAATTTTGTGTAATTAGGAATCTAAAATATTCAAAATTATATTTTATTAATACCACAGTTAGTGAAATAAAAATTACGATGTTATTTATAAATGTTCTTACCTTCACATCGTTGACATTCATCCTTGTTCCCTCTTTCCCAACAAAGATATCATCAATGTCCACAAGAATATATCTGTCCAAGGACAGTGTCAGTCTCTTCCCTGACAAGAAGGAGATGGCATCTATGAAGATGAGCTTGTGTAGCCAAAAGTTTAAGTTGTTGCCAAAAAGAACTCGCTGAATTCCATCATGAAGTCCCAGATCTTGAATCACTGTCGCATAGAGTGGTTTGCTGGATGAGGATGAAAGGGATTTTTCTGTCTGTAATTCAGTTAAAAACACGGGCTGGTAGGTTGAATGATTATATTGGAAAATAGTCCAGTCTTCCCCAGGAAGAGGGCCTTTCTCAACCTTGGGGGCTTTGGTAATATGCAGCAAAGGAGACTGAGGGTTGACAAAACCATCCTTTAGAGCTAGATTATTGAAAAGGTTTAAAGGAAAGCCTTTTAATCGTGTACTTGGTAAGCTGTTCTCATTGGCTTTATGAAAACCGATTATACTAACACTGTATTCCACACAGTATTTTTCTAAAAGCTCTCGATTCCATGAGTCCATGCTGACGTACTTCAGAATATTTTCATAAATGACTAAAATATATTTTCCTTTGCCATTATTTGTAAGAGGAGGTATATCCCCCTTGCCGGGGGCAATGACCATTTGGTACTGAAATCGGCTAGACTCCAAGATAGCTATGATATCTTGACCAAGTTGAGAGTACTGGCTCTCCACAAATAGGAGGACAGTAGGATCAGTTTTGGATGTATCAATAGGTTTAACTGTTTTTAGCTCCAATGACCGATATGGTAGACTTTTGATGTCAGCACATTCTGCTTCTGTAGTGGTTTCAATAAGTGTCATTTCCTGTTTATAGCCAGAGTAGAGAAAGTAGGCAGAAATGACAATGCTCACCAAGCAAAAGGTAGCTAAGAGAACAATCAATGTTCGAAAACTTCTCCGAAGCTTCACAATAAGATTCATTTTTCAAAATACTGCTTTGGAAGTTTATTCCAATTTCTTTTCCTAAAGTGCCATAGTGAATAAAGTATGAGATGGTGCAAATATCACTTCCCACAAGTTCATGTAACCATCGCAAACCATGTAAAATGTTTGAAGGGATCACAAGTAAGTTAAAGCTGGAAGGCAATAGAGCAGGAGATCAAAAGTTGAAGAAGAGATTTTGAATTTGTCCAATACCAAATACTGATGCAGAATCCTTTAAACATTATCTGAAAAAAAGGAGAAATGTAATGACTAACCATAAATAGAAATAGAAATACTTATGTGATATAGATACTTATATATAAGAAACATACATATCAAATATAATTTTAGTGTGTTAATATGCTAAAATATTAATAGTCTGAAGTTTATAGTCTAGGTTTTTACTATTAGAGATTTTTTTCATGTCCTCAAGAATACAGAATCTTATTTGATTTTGCCAAAGAGTATATATACACACATATTGAGATAATTTTTCAAACTAACCATCTCAAAAAAAAAAAAAAGAGGGGTAAGAAAGAAAGCTTTAGTGTAAATGTTAATTACCATAAAGATGGCTTCTACAGGACTGGTAAACATTATATACATAAAGAATTAGGAAATCAAATATTTGTGTGGGAGTTGGAACAGTGAAACATGCTCTTAAGTATCTGTTAAGTATCTGGAGAGCCAACCTGAGGGAATGATTTTGTCTTAAGTATATAGTTGTTACAGGTTTTTCCCTTTAATAACATATCCTTTTCTGAAGGTACAAGGAGACACTTGGCCTTCTTCACTGTAACATAGACAAGATTTCTCCTCTACTCTTAGAAGCAAAGTGAGAGAGAAGCTATGGGAGAAAGAACAAGATGGGAACAACCATCCTCAGACCTCTCTAATAAGGGGCCAGGAACCTAGATGAGAAGGACAGCTTTGACATGTTTGTCTCAAAGCGCATTCCTAAATTTGGCTTACTCCTGTAATCAGAATTAAAATGGAATTTTTATTAATTTATATTTTTATTCATTATTAATTTTTGTCCAACTATCAAATGTTCTATTTCCCTATCACTTTCTTTAGTTCAAAAGAAAAGGAATGTAGATAGAATTAAAAAAAAAATCTTCCCCAAATGGCTTCACCACAAATGGACATAATTTTCCATCATTAGATTTTTTTTTTTGGATGGATGACTCTGATTTTTAGTGAATTGTTTTCTAGAAAATTTTTCTTCATTCTTCTCAAAACTGTTTTAGACTATTTATGGAATTTTCCATTTCCCAGTTTGCCAAACTAGTGTCAAACTAGTGGAAACAATCAAAAAGTTCATGCTTTTTTTTTTTTTAAAGATTTTATTTATTTATTTGACAGAGAGAGA